ATGCGTAGCTCTAGGGACTTCACTAAAGGTAAAACTCTAAAGATCCTATGTTGTTCTCTTGTAAGAAGTAATTTGGAGTACGCATCTCAAATCTGGAACCCAAGGTATGCAACATCCCCCCCCGAACGGGTTCCCGCCTTGTCGTGGCGGGGGGCTTAGTAGCCGTGGCTTGGTCTCCCACGGTGAACAAAGAGGAACCCACGTAGCTGGCCCGAGGTGAAGGGCCGGCCTGAGGTGGCCGCTCCGAGTGGGCTTGGGGAGCCCACTTCGGATGTGTGCTGGTGGACTGCAGCGAGTGGGGACTCGCGCACCCTCTACCGCTGCAGCCGAGGTGGAGTCGCGGAGGAAGAGGAGTGTTGGTATGGCGATGCGCCACTCGCCCTATCCTTCGCGACTCAAACGGGGCCGCACCGTTGATGCGGTGGTGGTGGGGCTGCGGGGGGAGAGGATTGTCGGTATTGCGAGGCGCCGCTCTCCCTACCCTCCGCAGCCGAATCTTGGTTGGCGGCGGAGCCATAGACCAGATCCGCCGCTGGGGTCGGGAAGGCTAGTGCTTCTAAGTGCTCGTTTTTCCTGGCCCCATGGCCTTTGTGCATCGGACGCGGGGGCGTCTGTTGCACAGACGTAGTTGGAGGCCGTGGAGGAAGGCGCGCCATGTGTTCTGGTGCGCCTTACCTGGGAAGGAGAACGGGGAGGAATTTTCCTCTCCCGATGAGGTGCTGCCATGGGGCGGCAGTCGCTGGTGGGGCCGCAGATGTGTGCGAAAGCGTTCCCGTAGCCCTGCCAATATGCGACGAAGGTGGAACACCATGGGGTTTAAGTCGGTGCGAGTCCGACATAACCCGTCCTTGCCCCCGCGAGGCGGGTATGCGTAGGCATTTCCCCATGCAAAAAAAAAAAAAAAAAAAAAAAAAAAAAAAAAAAAAAAAAAGGTATGCAACATATATTACCCGACTTGAAAATATCCAAAGTAAGTTTATGCGTTACCTCTGTTATAGAACCAATGACTATAGCTATACCTCAGATAATTATATTGGTTATTGTAAAAAACATCACCTTCTTCCTCTTGCTATGCGTCGTGAGATTGCTGACCTCACTTTTCTGTTAAAAATAGCTTGTAGTGCTACTGACTGTCCTGAGATTTTATCTTAACTACATGTTAGCTGTCCTGCCAAACTTCTTAGATACAACAAAATTTTAAGTCTCCCGTTTTCATCTACAAATTATAGGCAAAATACATTTATATGGCGAACGAGCAATAATTTCAATAAGCTGGCCAATGAGTTTAACTTCGATTTGTTTAACACTAGTGCTGCGTCAGCTAGGCGCATACTTAACAATGCATTTTTTGGTAGCTCTAAGTGAGATATTGATGCGTTGCTACACAACTATGATTTACTTTTGTATTTGTGTTTATTTTTCTCTTAAAATAGCTTGTAGTGTTATTGACTGTCCTAAGTATGAGTTGATTGTCTTTTATATGTATAATACAAGTTTAGCTCTCATTTGGTATAAATATGTTGTATTGGTTACTTTCGAGGGTTAAATCGTATTTATCACTGTTGTAAATTCACCGTTGGATCTATTAGTGAGGATCTTTAATTGGCTTACTGTTGTTATTAATACTATCTATCCTAATTATGATAGCTGTTGGTCTTCCAAATTAAATAAAATAAAATAAGATACGACATAGCTAGTTGTCATATACGAATTATCAACGACCTTTCCATACACCGGCCATGCCAATATTTGTGTCTGAAGTCGAGACATTACTAAACACGGTCTCGGAGTGCAGCGACTAAATCTAGTCCAGTTCAATTCCAAAAAATTGCGCATTTACCTCTAAAATGTACCCCTTTTTTGTATCTCATCAGTTTTAGAGCACTCGCCTTGTTGAGTCTGCCAGTATTAGAATCCTCGGCGTCGACATATCGAATTCATCGAAAAAATTCGTGATCACTTGAAAGAGAAGGCGAAACTGGCCTCTAAAAAGCTTTTCGTGCTCAGCAGAGCGGGACAGTATTTCATGACAGTATACTTCCTGCAACTTTACAAGGCGCAGGTTTGGCCTCAAATGGAATACTGTTCCCATCTCTGGGTTGGGGCTTCCCAGTGCCAACTCCTTCAATTTGATCGCATCTAACGCAGAGCTGTTTGAATCGTCGGCCACGGAGCACTTTCTGATCGGCTTGACTCACTGATGCTGCACACCTCTTTGCAGCATCAGTGGGCGTGCTCAAAAGAACTATTCAGACTAGTTCCATCCGCTCAATTTCACCATCGCACATCGAGACACAACTCGAGATACCATTCTAACGTTAACGTTTACGTTACGTACCAGTCTTACGGTTGATTGGCGGTCCAATACTGTGCGACTTACAAAAAGATTTCTTCCTTGCTCAACTTCCTTGTGGAATCGACTACCACCAGCGGTTTTTCCAGATCGATATCGTTTTTAAAAGGCTCGCAACGCATCTGCAAGTCCGCTGGTGTTGCAGTTGTTCATGAGCTGCGGTATTCACTTAGCATCATGGGAACTGCATGCTCGTTTGCACCCTCTCATATTAACAAAGATAGCTAAATACAATAAAAACATCTTTATTCACTTCTCCCACAAGTATATTTATCATCATGATATATGTGTTACAAACATTTTTGAATAACAAAAAAGTACATTAACTGGTGGCAGACGGGATCCCAAACGATAATAATAAACAATATAAATAATAATATCTAGCGACCTGTCGCTTTTGGTATAGATTTTATACGTTTTGGTGAACTGCCCCGGCTTTGCACAGATAATTTGACTAAAATATTGTGTTATGTGACACAGGTTGCAGTAGCAGTAAGTATCTCTGGCTTGATGACCTGTGGTGATGAAGGACGAAGTCAATAATTGCATATTATTATAATATTTTGGCACTTTTTCTTTACAGAGAATATTATTTGGATAAAATAAATAAATTAGATAAAGAAAATTGAATTACCTCGTTAAAGCTATTTTTTATAGAATAAGAGTGACAAACGTGCACAAAGTCCACCTGATGGTAAGTGGATTCTGTGGCCCATGGATCTCTACAATTATCCTCGATTAAGAATCAAAACGCAGATGCGTTGTTACCTCTGAGGAAAAATATTGCAATGCCTCGTTTCCAGAAAAAAAGTTCTCCGGATCTCTACACGCTACGCTGGCTGGTATTCCGCGAGAGAGTAGTACTTCCCTGGTCGAGCCGACCCATTCGAACCACAATACGTTACGTTACAAAGTAAAAGTTACGGACAATAATACGCTAAGCAAACTGTCTTCCTTACATCTCTGAGAGGGTTTTAGGCCAAGGAAGATCACCGCGTCACGCTGCCCCGATAAATGTTGCAGACTTAAAACAGCTTAAATTTATTAAATGTTTAAACCTGCATTTTTTATCACAATGTTTTCCGTTTACAACAAGCTTGTAGTAAATCAGCACTTTTAATTGTAATTAACAATTCCGAGTTGAGATCAAGCTACAAAGCTACAATTACACAAATAACAAAAACGTTTTTTACGTGGTAGAGCCATGCTGCAGTTATATTAGCAGTATATTTGTAGCACGAATGGGTCAGCTCGACCGGGGAAGGAACACGCTCTCACGGGATACCAGCGTCAAATAGTAGCTCAATGCTGCTGTGTTTCGTATGGTAGTTGCAACCGGAGACCCTTTTTATTGGAAACGAAGCATTCCACCTTAGTCCTTACGGACGACAACGCATCTGCATTTTGATTCGTAATTGAGAATATATGTAGATATCTATAGACCACAGCAACCACATACCATCAGGTGGACAGTGTGCTCGTTTGTCATCCCATCCCATAAAAAACCCACATAAGTTCAAAATTTAGCAACGGTCAATTATTCGGCAATACATTGACTGAGATAAAAAAACAGTTATATGAAGTATTTTTAACACATTCGATTTAAAATATTGTCAGTTTTTAAATTCTTGTAACAAAATAAACATTTACCAGTTTCTTGTTGTTTCATGCATGAGTCTTTCATAGCAGATATATTCAATTGCCCCTCGGTATGATATTCAAATACATTCCACCTTCGTGAGCCATGAAGAATCTTCGAGGGACATACCTCATGGCCGGCAAGGTTCGTTTTGAAGGTTCGACTCGAAACTTCGAAAAAAACTTCGCTAAACAAACCCATGATTGTAATTTAGCAAACCGCATACCTGGGTTACAAGAAAATAAAAAGTTTACAAAAGTTAAGGCTAATGTATAATTTACCAAAGTTACATTACATTTTTTTATATAATGACACCCTCATTGCAGACTGCTGAAAACCACGCTTTCACAGAACACTAGCGTAAAATAGCAGCTGAACGCTGCCGTTTTTCGTAGGTTTAGTATAGAGAACCGATTAGCCCTCTTACTTGAAACGAGGCATTATGTCTAAGTCCTCAGAGTTGACAACCCGCATTTAGATACCTAATCGAGGATGAGTGTAGATATTGTTGCGCGCTATAATTAGCGCCTGGTATGTGGCGGTTGATTATTGACGCCATCTGGTATCAAGCAGCAGAAATAGGAGCGTCAAGATCTTTCTAGAACTCTCCCACTAGCTCCATCTAGTATCGAATGGAAGAACTAAGCCTTCTAGAAAGCCCTAAACTCGAACTTCCTGCGTTGGTAGGGGCCAGTATTTGCTGGAACATTCTGCATGTTTCGGTGGAAAAGGCCTATATAAAGCCGATGCAAGCCGTGGTCGGGGCAGTATAGAATTTGCGATTCGAGCGAAGCTTTCGGAGTGAAATAAAGTGAACTAAAGTGTTAAGTGTGAATAATTATTAGTGTGATTTAAGTTTTAATTGTTGTTCAGTAATTAAAGTGTTAATTTTGGTAATTCAATCGGTAGTTTTTATTGTCATGAACCCTAAGCTCTTAACAATATCTATAGGGCCAGAACATACTAACTCTGTTGGTCTGTGTGCTCTGGTGGTCTGTGTGCTCTTTTTCACCATTTTTCATTAAAATTGAGTGCGGCACAATTGCTCAAAAGCATTTCGTGTAAAACTCCAACAGTGCCCACAGTGAACGGCAGATGAGTTAGTTTGTCCACTGAAAATTGTGTATATGTCTTTTGTGAGAATAGAATAAAATCATTTTCTATTCTATCCCAATGGTTTAGAAAAATCTCTGTCTTGGGATGAAGCAGCAAGAAATCCAGCGGGACTTTTTCCTAAATAAAATTAATTTGCAATATGTTATTCTTTTCAATTAGTATGAAAACATTTCTAAACAGCATGGTAGCGATCACCTCATTCCTAGGAGTTATTATTAATCATGTACTCTTTAGTTGTGTAGTAATACTTACTTAACAATTTTATTTATAAAACATTTTAACTTTTGAATTTAAGCACACAGTGCTGACGTTTGAGACGTTCGTCATCATATTGAACAGTTTTCATAAAAAGACACGAAAAGCAAGTCTACATAATTAGTTAACAGTAGACTAATATTAGGGCGCGGAACGCGGACTCAATATGGCCATGAGTTCGTTGGTCATTCAACTTTTGTCGGGAACCACTCCTAACACAAGCCTTTTAATCTGACCAGGAGTATGTAAAGGGAATATTAGTAATTTTAATAAGCTTTGTTGTTTGTTTGTTGAATTAATAGACTGGGTGCGTTGCGGATACAGTGAATACGTGACCACTGACGCGTCTTCAATATTAAAATTTCTGCGCGAATGTGTGCTACGGTTACAAATGCTTTCATAAGTGAGAACATGGAAGGAATGTTTCTTGCCACACACGCACACATCCCACGACACTTGTGAATAGCGCCTTTACAAGATAATAACCAGCGGTCTCATGAGACTGCGGCCATATTCCGTCAAATCCCTAGCGGCCTCATGAGGTCGCACCCATCCACAGCACTTTAACCCATAAAAACTTATATATAGAGACCACTTTTCCATGAAGAAGTTTGGCATTATATAATCAATATGAAATACTTTATCCTCTTGTGCAATAAAAAAAACTGTTATCCTTTGAATATTTATTTATACGTATAATCTACGTTTCTTTCGTACGCCATTTTCGCGTGAATGTTATTGTGTTGATTTTTGGATATTTGTAGTGTTTTATTACTGTTTTATTATAGTGTTTTATTATAAAATTGTAATGAAAGTTTTTGTGTGAATATAATTTATCTTTTTTACGTAAATAATTTCGAGTAATATATATTGATATAAACGTGATTTTCACACTGCCGATATTCGCTTGGTATTTTTTTTTTTGTTATCAAAATACAATAAAATCTGTTAAGTAAAACCTGACTTTAATTTAGACCACAAGATATAGAATTTTGTACAGATTTTATAGTGCTAAATTTCTTGATATAAAAGTAGTCTCTAAATATAAGTTTCAACGGTTTTAAGTGCTATGGGTGGGTGCGGTGGCATGCGACCGCTCGGGATTTGCCGGACGCATGCGATTGCATGGGATTTTTTGTGGCGCTTGAAGGGATAATATATACATTTTAAAGCAAATAGCTGAATTACAAATGTATACTTCAGTGCGGCCATGTAAAGTATGATACTTGCCCTGCACAGTGTACGAATGTTAACAGCGCCTTTAGAAGACTAAAAAAACCTTTATATAGCAAATAACTTTTGGCAATCAGTCCGAATGATATAAGACTTATAACAACTTACCTATGCAGTTCCGAGGACCGATTCCAAATGGTAAGTATGCACATGTATGGCGTTTACTTGAATTTTCAGAAGAAAATCTTTCGGGGTCAAATATTTCAGGGTTCGGGTAATGTTTTTCATCGTGCTGAATGCCTAAAGGCGATATGAAAATCATTTGACTCTTTTTCACTGTCACATTCATCCCAGGAATCTTGTAATCACTTTGTGCTTTCCTTTGTAATGGCTCAACTAAGGAGTAAAACCTAAGAGTCTCATAGAAAACTTTTCCCATATATTTCAAATCGTTTAGAGCTTCAAATGATAGCTTGCCATCGTATTTTTCGAGGACTTCATCTACTTCAGCGATCACTTTATTTTGAATGTCGGGATTTTTTTGCTAAAGCATACAACATGAAAGCCATTGTGCTGGCACTCGTTTCATATCCACCCACATAAAATATAAATACCTGTGCAGCGATTATATCGTCTGTAAGTTCTAAAGTAATTTCATTTTCCTCTTCGGTTTTCTTCGGCCCTTGGATGCTACGTTCTTCCCTCAATTCCAAAATCAAGTCCATAAAATCTTTTCTATCTGTTGGCTTACCATTCCTCTGTTCTATAACGGTTTTAACGAGTTGCTCAAAGAAATTTTGCACAAATTTGGGGAAAGGATTGACATTTAATTTTCTCAAAATTCCAGGATACATCATGTCAATCTCATCAATAAACGTCGGTGTGAATAAAATGTTATCGATCTTTGTGAATATGGAACTATTAGTATCACTAATTGTATTGACTTCCAAACCAAATGCACATGCTGAGATTGTCGCCATTGTGTATTTCTGAACTAAGGAGTGTACTTCATGTTCCTGTTGCTTCTGACAAATGCTATCGACAAGGTCGATGAATTTATCGCCGTGCTGGCTTAGTAAATAAACCATATTCTTAAGTTTTCCGGAGGTGAAAATTGGCGTGAATCGATTCCTTAATATCCGCCACATATAACTGTCAGCATGTACTAAATTATTTCCCAAGCCTTTTTCGCCGAACGAAGCTCCTCGATCGGAGAAGCAGTCGAAATCCTTTATCAGAACATGCTTGATCACATCAAGGTCGCGAAGCAGTAAGCATGGAGTTGTCATTCTGAATAATCCCACTACCTTCTCATTGGGATATGCATCGTAGATCTCTTTGAAAACCACTCCCATATTCTTTCTCCTCAAAGCAGAGTCTAGTATATTACCAAATAATGGAACCGGTTTTGGCCCGGCTATATTTCTTGATGTCCAATAGTTAAATGTTCTTGTCAAATAGTAGTACAAAAAGTAACATATACTTGCTAACGCAATTAAAATGTAAATTAGCATTTTAGAGGCAAGTTTGGTACGGACTTTGTATCGGAATTAATTAATTTCTATTGCGCTCCGTTTATATAGCTTTGTGATGTTTTGATAATGAGTCTGATGTAATTTATATTATTTCTATTTATTACATTATTTCTCTTTATTTATTGAAGCCATTATTGGGAACGTATAATATGTCAGCCCCATAATAGACTTATCTTTATTACACGCAGTTGTAAAAACCTTATTTACATATTACATTTTGGGACAAAGTGAAATCAAATTAATGTTATGTTTTGTTTTCAGACCATCATCAACAAAAGAAAACGCATTGAACAATGACATTCTTTCGCAGTATGTGCCAACTGGCACGTAGCTTTAAATATTTTCTGTCCATTGATACCCTGGGATTTTATCTTTTAATACACAATCGAGTTTGGGTGTATTTTTATAGAATAAGGTTGACAAGCGGGCATACATTCCAAATGATCGCACTTGAGGACAAAGATAGAATGACTTGTATCCAGTTAAAATGATTTCCGTTTTTCTACACTCAAAATATGAAACACAGCAGCATTAGGTGCTATTTTATGCTGGTAGTCTGTGAGAGTGGACGTTCTCCGATCGAGCCGACCCATTCGTGCTACAACCATAATATAGCTGCAGAGCACTTACCACTTTCAAAACATTTAACATTCATAATTTATTAATACGAACATTTTCAATTAAAAACAACATAATTTTTTTAGGTTGTCGTCCCAACCTACTTTTTTATCTGTGTTTCATGGAAAAAATGACCTGTGGACTAAAATAAATATGTGCCACAATATATTGTAATAAATACTGTCATAAGGAATATCGTAATGTATTACAATATTATAATTAATCAGATAAAATAAACGAGTTGTTGTTTATTTTAGCCCCAAAGATAAATTGTTAACATTAGGTCAAGTCCAAAGTAAAAAAATATATATTAATGTGAATATTTTTACATCTTAATTTCGAGTATCGTCATTGGTGAAACACATAATAGAATAAAATTTTCGCAATAGAAAACAATCAAAATTTCCTCTTATTTTCATCGACAACCGATTTATTCCGGTTGTTAAAAATATGTTCTATTTTTGAATAAAAAATGTAATAAATGACATCACTTATTTATTATCTAGTGCTGTCTCTGTGTTTAAAAATAAACAACATTTTTCAAGTCTATTTTGTTATACGCATCAATCGCAATCGCTCCGTTGGCGGGATAGAATGTGTTTCTGTGCAACGGGCCTGCGCCCTTGCCGGGAAAAACATCGTTTTGTACACGTTGTACGTAAATAGATCGATAAGAGTATGGTATATCTACCATATTCTTCTCAATCATTATTACGAAAATATACAAAAATTTAGTTACAGCGCAGTAACAAAATTTCCATATTTTTGTATTTTTATCAGATCGGCAAGGAAATATCAACCCTTACTACCTAGCCTCTCAAACGGCAAGCGTCCAAAGGAGACAATCAATTTTTCTATGGAGAATGGGCCCACTACAAATTTTAAAAATTATCAATTAAATGTATATCGATTTATTCCTTATAATCCATAGATTATAATTATATTATTAGTTTTACTGCATCTAAACGGAGTCCTGAGAAATTAACAAATAAAATGAGAATCTAACAATAACCTAAAAACAAACTGAAAGCGGTTTTCTAGTAGAATTCATCGGTATTATAAGTTAAAATAGTGCACACTTGAATAATAGTACATATAAAACTAAGCTGTAGGTATATTCAGCATTTATAAATATTTTAAAATCGATGTAAAACCTTTCACTAGTTCCAGCAAAAGTGTTAGCGACGAAATGTGAATTTAATTACTTATTTAATTTTGTTCTTATTGTAATCTAAAAATACGTTAAGAATGTTAGCGACGAAGTGTGAATTTAATCACTTGATTAATTTTGTTTTTATTGTAATTTAAAACTACGTTAAGATAGATAGCGACAATACGTGATTTTAATTACTTATTTACTTCTCTACGGGCGGATTTACCTTAAGGCTAAACACGTCGGACTCTGGTGACCAACACAGACCGAGCACCTTGTGTGTATCCGAATCGTCGAATTCCTTTATCGCCGAAAGACTGTGTGATAGTGGGATTGTGTCTAAAACCGGACACGAATTACTAGTCCACTTGACAAGATCGAATTGACCCGATTTCATGAGCTTTATAACCTCGGCGGTGGTTAGGGTGGCCTCCTCCACGCTATCGACCGACCGAGTATACAAAATCATCCATATATAAACCGCTCTCAATTGCCCTCTTAGCTTTAGGGTAAGAGGGACCTTCATCGTGACCGAGCTGTCTCACCGTGCGTAACGCATGAAATGGGCTCGACTTTAAACCAAAGCAAACGCGGTTAAATTCAAACACCGTTAGAGGTTCCTTTGGGTTGAAACGATATAAAATGCGTTGGAATCTACGGTCGCATTCACGGACCCCTATGCAAAGAAAAATTTGGCGAATATCGGCGGACAGTGCTATACTAAACAAACGAAAATTGGCTATTATATTAAATAAACTGCCTTGTAAATTTTTCCTACTATAGAGGATATCGTTAAGCGACAGGGGAGTGCTAGTTTTAGCACTAGCGTCGAGCACTACACGTAACTTAGATGTAAGTTTGTCCTCCCTAATGACCCCGTGGTGTGGTATGAAATACGACGGTGTGTCTTTGTAGTTATCTAATTTCGAAGCCACAAGTGATATATAACCTTCCCTTATATATTCGTTAATGACGCCGTCATAAGCTTCTTTTAACTGGGGTGAAGCTAGCATCCTACGATCCAAGCTGTAGAAACGTTTTTCCGCCATTTGACGCGAATCGCCGAGAGATAAAACATCTCCTTTAAAGGGTAGCGCTACACTATATCTACCGTCGCGATCACGAACGGTCGTGCGGACGTAAATTTCCTCGCATAATCTGTCATCTGAGCTAGCTGTGAGTGGGACATTCACCTCCTCCATCTCCCAAAATTTGCGGACTAACGACTCGAGCGGTTCGCCAGCCATACCACAATAAGAGGTTGCCGAAATACTATTCATGATGGGGCGGAGCCAACGATGACATAGCCCAAGACGGTTTCCAATGCGTAAGGCGCGGTATGCGAGGAGTTGCCCCTGACCCTATTGTTTAACAAAAGATGAGGGAAAAGCGATGCTCCAATGAGCATGTCTATGTTTCCAGGAACGGCGAAAGTGTCGTCTGCTAGAGTGGAATCATTATTCCCTTCCTAAACGATATCATTCGTACCCTCCCATCGACACTTCGGGGTGATGGGGTGGGAGGGGAAAGAAGACGATTCTAGAACATCGCGTAATCACCAGAACCGAGGATATATAAGACACGCGCGACCGACGCGCTCTCTCTTCTTCCCGCCGCAGCCGTCGTTGAACTACAACTCTCTCTTCCCGCGCGCTCGTTTGGAAACACATCACTAGTAGAAACCGCTTTGGCCTGGAAGCAGTCGAGCTCCAGGAACCCGCCTCACCTCGTGTGAGATATCGTCGCGCACCGCCTTTCTCCGGAGTGTTCCAGAAGTCGCCGCTATAGTGCTCTAAAGGATAGAAGAACCCCGGTGAGTCAATATTCCTTAATTTACTGCCTGATTAATATTTAATAATTGTTTTAACCGTTCCAATTCTGTGTTTTCCTCATCAGGCAGGATTCCTTTCATCGATTTGGCAAGTAATAGTTTAGTTTAGGGAAGAGCGAGTGCATTGTACCGCATGCTATAGTAGTCGCTTTTACGTAAGCGTAGAAGCAATCGCAAACACAGTCCACTTGAGTTAATATCTCGCGTAATAGGTTTGAGGTTTGACCGGGGAACTAGATTTTCGGCAGCCTTAAACACGTGGCTCCACCAATAATTGATATTATATTAATCATAATTAATTGCACAACGCTGGAGGATGGACACGCGTGCCGTATTACGTCGTTAAATTGAACACCTGTTACAGCGAGCCGAGGTGAATTTTTATCAAAATTGTCGGGTAAGCGTACAAAACGCGTGTGATTACACTGTTTCAATTACTTAAGCGACTAATAAGCTTTAAATTTAAACCAAATACAAACACTATTTAAATGAATAATTCTATTTGCGAGTAACTAACCAAAATTTAAATTTTAAACGAACACTATTTAAGTATATTCCATAAATACCAGTCCAAATCCTGCCGAAGTGACCATAAAATGGTGGAGCGACGAGCCTAAGGTTACCGAAGTCTAATTCCCCGGTCGAACCTTAAACCTATTACGCGAGATATTAACCAAAGTGGACTGTATATGCGAAATGCTTCTTCGTTTACCCAAAATGGCGACTATAGCACGCGGTTTCCCATACAATGCACTCGCTCTTCCCTAAAACGAATTATTATTTGCCAAATCTATGAAAGGAATCCTGCTTGATTAGGAGAAAATAAATTGGAGCGGACACAATTATATCAAGCAGTAACTAGTAAGGAATATTCACTCACCGGGGTGTTGCGTCTATGCGGCTTGGGCACTAAGTTGCTGCGACTTCTGGAAGATCCTCTGGGTAGACTCTCTGGGGCCCCAGCCTTTCTTGTCCGGTGATACGTCGGGAGAGAGTGCGCGACTATTTCTCACACGAGGTGAGGCGGGTTTCCTGGAGCTCGACTGCTTCCAGGCAAAAGCGGATATACGATTTGGCAAGCCTACCGTCAAATATAAATAAATACGAATGGTTTTCCGCGCAACCAGTTATGAAATAATTATTCTTAGTGCCGATATAAAAAAAATTGCCGTAAGTGCCATATTTATTGAAAAATTAATTACTTTATTTTTGCAAACA